GTTAGCTTCCTCTTTTTCTTTTCCTATTCGAAGAGTACTAATCCCCCTCACCAAGAAGAGGTGGGTCTATTTGGGGGGGAACCTAATTATCTCAAGTCTCATCTTTTGTCAAAATAGTATCAGTATCGCGGAACTGGATTAATTGAAAACCGAGTCCGATAAGGTCACTTAGTTCGTTTTTGCCTGTCGCGATTGTGATATTATATTATTTTCATTCTGCTTTTCCCCATTCGAGAGTACGTTTTAATTTCACGCAAACAGGCGGCTATGGCGGCTGGCGGAAGTGTATGTAACCCCGACGCTCAATCGGGAAAATTAAGATCTGTTTCATTACCAACCAGAAGTTTGCCGGCGATAGTCTGATAACACAACATTTGTGACATGCAGGTTGTGCAGTGTGAACGCTGTGTTGCCATGCGAATAACATTTATTAGATACTCGGACTCGTCTCTGTGCTGTCACTTGTGGGGAAAAAACGAAAAGAAAATACTGGCATCATCCGATTTTTAGATTGTCGGACTCGCCATCGTGACCGGTCAGTGAACCTGCGCGCTTTTGCATCACAAATAAATGCAGATCGTGTGAGTACCAGCGTTGCAAAATATAGGACTACGGAATGGGGGATGGAGATTATTGACATTGGCATTGACCTTAACAATTTAGTTGTTTGAGGCTCTAAGTAGAGCCCGTTCAACTATCTGGTAATAAATGACTATAATATAATGCATTGCGTGCAGGCTAGACAATCAGTTTTGGCAAGTGGGGTTGTAAATAGTTGGGAGATATTTTCAGTATTTGTTCAGACGTCTCTTAAATGTGTCCACGTTTGGAGCTGACACCACCGATTCGGGGAGATTGTTCCAAATTGTATTAACCCTATTCTCAAAAAAGTTTGCCCTCACACACAATCTGCTTCTTTGCTTCTGGAGCTTCTCTGAGTTGCCACGGAGTTGTGTGGTTGTTGCCTTTGTAAACGCTGGTCTTTCGGGGATGTAGTAGCCTTTGATATACTTGTACATTTCTAACATGCCCCAGGAAAATTGAGAAGCCGGTTTGGCGCAGTCACCCTGTGTGCCCCCCCACCACCAGGGCAGTGCTACTGGCTGAAGTGTCTTTAGGCCATTCCCAAAGGGGGGATATTAACATGTTTTTATGCTCAGTAGAATTGTAATTGTAAATGGGCTGATTTATCAATGTCATGCTCATACTGTGCCAGAACAATATAGGGGGTACTGCTGCTTTTTCTTTCCTCATCCTTTGTGCTGTTGAGGCTAGAGAGGTGAGTAGAGTAAGCTTGATTCCCTGTTTGGACTTCTCTGGTGACTTCCACCCCTTGGTGCCGTAAAAATCCTTACTAAAACTAAAACTAAATCTAGTGGCGAGCGAGCGTTCAATCGTCTGTCTATCCTCCATTTTGACGACTGGACTTTGTTGTGTGTAATTTTCCTTCCATATATATGTAATATTAACATGTTATTGATGGCGCAAATGAACTCTCTTTTTCGTGCTGGTAGCAGCTTGATTTGCTGAGTAGTAAATTTGTTCAGGAAATATTGCTGGACACCCTGAACATTTTACTAGTTGGTCGGTCGGTCGTGGGGAATTACTTATTTCCCTTGAAAATACACATTTTCTTATTTCTCAATACTCATTTTGGTTTTCTGTGGTTGGCATCACTGTACATAGATGAAAAAATCACATTTGAATTCAATGATTGTGAGTTTCTACTTTCCCTATCAGCTTTATTCGGTGCTAGTCAGTTGACTGAGCATGGTAGAGTCACCGAAGAGTCCCCAACTTTCCTGCTGGGTTGGAAATGGTCGGAAATGTTCATGTAATCTTGAAAGTCATTGATGTTGCAGAGATTTCACATGGTATGAACGGGGTTTGAGCGTGATGACTGTGTTTTATGTTTGTACTGGGTTGACACATAGGTAGGGGAGTTCTTCAACCTCCTCTTGATACAATTGAACTCGGAAACCCACTTCTATTTTCAAGATGCTCCTTTTCTAGTATCCTTTGTTCAATTTCAACCCTGTTTCTAGCAAAGCATAAAAAAAAAGAAAAAAGTAGCTTTGCCAAAGTCGAATATCGGCTTTGGTATGTCCAATCATCACTGTACAAGAGGTACTTTTGGTAGTTGCAGTATTCCTTTCTGAAAGTTGATTATGTACGGTCAAATTCGTTTGACGTGAGGGATCTTCTGTCTCTGCCAGACGAAGCCCGTCACATCGTTGGTAGCAAGATTGTAGGATGTGAAATGATGCACCACCATTTTAATCTTGTAATACAGATAAGATGCCTTACTTCTTAGTGCCAAAGGCACAGCTTGCACTTCCATTCAACCCCAGAGTGTTTGTCATCTGCATCTAAGGATTTGATGGCCATTTCCTTGTTGACTATGGCTTTCTGTGTTGTTTCTTTGCTTCACCAGAGGTAGAGCTGATCTATTTCTGTGTACTTTGACGTGTAGAGCCATTACATGTCTACAAAACTGGAAAGGGGGCTCAAGGTAGAGCTCAGTTGAGCCATACAGAAATGTGATAATAGTCGTGATAACTTGCTAAAGAACCCCTCAACACAGGATACATCAGCCACACGTGCATTCATATTTGACTGCTCGTTCATCATCCAGTTCCTAACACATCACATTCCAAAGTCCGATGGTTGACATAAAGAACTGTCAGCAAACTCTTTTCGGTAAACTGTCAGCTATGTTGTTGAAAATACCTGAATGCGCTTTATTTTCTGAACCTTTGGTCTCTTTGATTCAGACGCAGAAAGCACTTCCCCCGATCACATCATCTTTTTTCAATGAATTACAAATTTCTGCTGCAGTGCCCATGTGAGTCTCCATACATACTGCTTTAAAAAAATCTGTGTCTTTCCTCATAACTGAATTCATCACAATGGTTTCCATTATTCTGACACCAGCGTCTTTTTGGATTTGTTAGGCCATTCTAGCTTTTGTTATACCAGCCTTTTGGTCTCTTTTCGTCTCCATTTGTGCTAGCCAATCTTTTTTTTTCAAGAAGGAAGTCCCCCCCTAGGATCATTTTCACCATTTCCTTCTTCCGTTCTTCTTCCACCCACCTCCCTGCCCCACTAGTCCATAATCTAGTCTCAAGAATTCATTCCTTCTGCATATATCACACCAAATATGCATTCCGCCGCCTTCCAACCCTATGTTCTTTAATTCCCCCGTGATTGCTGTCTACAGCTGGAGGAATCTCTGGCTACAGTATAAAAAAAAACTTCAGGGTCATTCTTAAGTAGATTGTTGATAATTTCTGAAAGTGAAATGTTAAAAACACCAGGGTGAAGTGGAGTCAATGATGATAGCCATGGGCAATGCCATGGCTCCCTGATAGAGGTGAGTAGTGGATAATTTGCTTGAGTGCAGTTGCCATCATCTGCGGTCTTCTCCAATGTCTTTGCCAGACTGAGCTATACCAGGCATTTTCCTCAAGATAAAGGATCCACCATGTATCCTCAGGCTCAGGCCAAAATGTCAAGAAAGTTGTATTTGAAAAAGACTAGCACTAATTATAAAAGAGCAGCATTAACATGGCTGAACTATTCTATAAACCTGACAAAGATTGCCTGTTCATACTTCGAGAGGTTGTTTTTTTAGTTCGATGACTTGTTCTTGGTCCTTTCTTTCCCAATCGTGAATCATAGTTGACGCCGGCGGTAGTTATTTCCTGGAACCACTCCCTCTGCTAAATCATATCTCTTTCATATAATACCAAATATTTAAATAGACAACTATTGATGCGTGATAAGTGAATCGTTAAAAAGTAATGTCAGCCACAGTATATTCTATACCATGACTGAACCGTTTAATTTTACGATGAGACCAATGAATAATATCAGTACGCCCATGGTCACAGTGAAAGTTAATTCCAAGAACAAAAAAGGATTGCATCCAGATTGTCAACAATGATACAGCAACAATAAAGTGCGTATTAATGCTTTCTGTAAAATTACTACTGTAGCTGCTGCTGCTGTTGCTTCGAACTGCCAGTACAAGAACTACTGCTGCTACTACTGCGACACCGTCGCTGCTGCTGCTGCTGCTGCTGCTAATACTACTACTACTGCTGCTGCTGCTGCTAATACTACTACTACTGCTGATGATGATGATGGTGGTACTACTACTTCTATTACAGCTGCGCTGCTTCAGTTAACACTAAAGTGTGCTACAATACAACAATTAACGTAGGAGAAGAAGAAGAGGGAAGGAAGAAGAAGAAAAGAGCGTGTCGTAAAAGTGCGGGTCTATAATGTGGCTCGAACTTATAGGTCTTTTATTATCTTATGTCTCATCTAGATGCGTACATTAAAATTGACAAATCTAATCTAGAACTAGTAAATCGAATCATACAAATGCTTTGTATTACAAGTCACTTCACTGCTGACTATAATGTATATCTTGTTGAACACTGATGAAAGTTTTAAATTCTGTCTAGTCGAGAAAAAAACAACTTTACATGGAATGATGGGGGAGATGCATGACGGGGAAGCATGTAGCCGGTTTGGATGACGCATTTTGATGCTCGGCAAGACGGCCCACTGAAACCGAAACGGCTACGTACATGGCTGGTTGGGCCTTGACTCTTTTTCCTCAGCTGCTGGTGTCCGTTTTGGAAAGTCTCAATTAAAACATATTTGTAGTTTTTTTCAAACTTATTTATTAGGGACACGTATCATGCTACTTACTATTCATTAAGCAAATAAAACAAAAATTAAAATTTTTGCATGTAGCCGGTTTGTGAATAACACCAATGATATGACTTCTCTCTTACTGACATATCCTGTGCATGTGTGTTATTCAAAAGAAGAGTCTGTGGCAGCTTGTCTAATCTGTGTAAAATTTGGAAGGATAGAATTTAAAAGCACTAAAGAAAATCATGTCAATCACTATGTGCTTTAGCGTCTGCAATAGCTTTTTAATATCTCTATTAATGCAACTGACTTTCTTCATTGATTGAATGCAGGCTTTCCATACGTAAGTAGGGGTGTTCTCTTGTTCATTAAGTTGTCAAGCTTTATGCACTTGTAATATTGTTAAAATCAAGATTTTTTATTGTTGTGACCTTTAGCTTCGTTTACTTTTCATTGCCATGGTAATTTACTCCTTGCAACATTGTTTTATTTGTAGAGTTCATTTTTGGGGGGGAATTTGCAGCTCTTTTTACTTTCTTTGTGAAATTGACCCGTCCTGGTACATTTAGATTAAAAAAGGGATTATGATGAATTTGTAACCCTTTTCATCATAATAATATAGCAAAAAGATTTTTGGGTGCATTTTCCTTGTGTTAGTTTTCTATTCTATAGATGCTGCTGGATTTGACAAAAGGAGTAATTTTTTCCATGTTTGTGTAGGAGTTCCTTATTTTTAGTTCTTGTTATATTATTATGTTTCTCTGTTCTGATTGCTAGGTAATCTTGGCATTAGTTCCTATAATACATTTTTAATTACAGTCAACTTTTGTCTCGTCATCTGAGTACATACATGGAGAAAAATCTTTGATTCCCTTCCGTCAATGATTCTAGCTCTTTGAATGAAATTTCTTAAACTGATATTGATAATCTGCTTATTTAATATCACACGAAAATTATTGTAATTGGACAATGCTTTGAGCTTATACTGCCAGACTGAAGTTTTATAGCATCGTTATGTAGTTATTTTAACTAGCTCCATCTTAGCTAAGATTTGTGTGGTTGCACAGGAATACTTGTCCCAAAGGTCCCAACTTTGTGGTTGATAGTATGACTATGACTGTTTTGCATTACTTAACAAATTGTGAATCCTACGAAGTCACTACCTTTTTAAGATCAAAACTTATGAAGGTGTTTGTACAATATTTTGCTTTTGAGAAATGACTTTTAAAATAGCGTATACATGTGTCTTTCTATCAGTGCATGTGAATTTTGATGGGTTTCCCAGTGCCTTCAAGTATTTGTTATGCCCACACATAAACACACACACGCTCACACTCTCACACACTCACACACACACTCACACAAACTCACACTCACACTCACACACACACACTCACACTCACACTCACACACACACGTACACACACACACACACACACATACACATGCATGCAATGTCACACACACCATAATTTCTTGTACTCTGTGTACGTAAAGAATACAAGCTCTTCTTTAAATATATAGGCATAAGTCATTTTCACCTACTCAGCAAAATAAACATTGCTCATTTGCAATCGCCATTGTGATCTTGATAATTATATTTTTTCTCCTGATCAAGCTATAAGATCTCAGTGGAAGAAAAAGTACAAGGCGGGATAGATCTACATTTACAAATGAAATATAGTATTGTTATACCTCTGCTCCTATGAATGTATAATATAGGCCGTTAAGATGACATATGTCTGTGTTTTTTATTGTTGAAAAATAGCTATAAACGCTGTGAATATGACAAAAATCCTGAAAAGCCAGTGGTTTACCTTATATCATTTTTATGTCTGTAATGTGTCTAAAAATAAAATGTGTATCTGGGGTCTGATCGCGTCATTGCCATCCTTTTGTTCAAAGGAAGATGTGCTGCTTTCGTTCTTTTGTGTACCAGTTAAAATAAGTCGGAGTGCCAAACTTAAAAAGTTCCTGCTGATGAACTTATGAAATTTTTATCTAAATATTGATGATCCAGAAACTTTTGAATTCAGCTTTTCATAGTAAAATTTCTTCACTGCCCTACTGACTAAAGTGTCTTTAGGCCATTCCCAAAGGGGGGGACATTAACCTGTTCTTAGGCACAGTAGAATTGTAAATGGGCTGATTCATCAATGTCATGCTCATAACTGTGCCTGGACTGCAACAGGGAACTGCCCCTTTGTCTTTCCTAATCCTTACTATCGTCATTTTCCTCTACTTCTTCTACTTCTTTTATATGTTTGTCACACTCTTGTGACCCGTTATTTCTGGGGTGCCTTGATAGTTGAAGCAGACTTTGTGCTGTTGAGGCTAGAGAGGTGAGCAGAGTAAGTCTGATTCCCTGTAAGGGCTTCTCTGTTGACATCCACCCCTTGGTGCTCATATGACCTTTTGCAGTTGCGAGCGCCGTAAAACCTCTACTAAAACAAAACATATAAGGGTTTTTTTCTGTGCCATATTCATAGCTATTTTTCCAGGTGTATCTAATGCTAGTCTTCTCATGTAGGGTGAAACTGAGGGTAAAAACAGATGCCAAGCAATTTGATATGCATGAAGAGCCCATAAGCAATTCCCAAGATGACTCAACAAACATCTGTGTCACTGATGCTGGATTGGACAAGGAGGTATTTTTTGTTCCATCCTGTGGATTTCTTTTCATTTTTGTGAACAGTCTTATAGAATGTCTAGTTTTATGTCTGCTCAACAAAATTTACCGTTCCCCTGTTCCCATTAAAAAGAATAGAGTCCATTTATGATTTGTCTCGTCAGTGTCTGCTCTAACCGTGTATTGCATGACTCTAGAATTTTAAAAATCTTAAAGAATGGAATTTGTTTTATATTATTTGTGTCATGTATGATCAGATCATCTGGAAATTTTGTGTAAAAAATACCATCAATTTTGTCCTGCTTTTTTTATGTGGGTAACAATTTCAAGTGGTTATACTTTAATTTGAAACTAAAGAAGCTTTTGATCTACTTTGGCAGATACATGATTAGAGTTAGATTCTGAATATGATAATAACATTTTCCTTTCTTACAGACAGAGTACTCAAGTGAGATTTTTATTTTGTGACTTAGAGACTGTGTTTGCTCAGATTTTTTTGTGCATTAGACGACAGACTACATAGATAAAATCTTTTTATGGACTCCCATGTTACTTCCGAAGTCTTTGTATTTTTTTCTTCTGGACTACTCAGTGTTAATCTATTTAGTTGCTTTTCAGTTTTCAACTGCATCATCTGTTCATAAATTTCATATGGCATGCTGCTGTTTCTAGATTTTATAAGTTCACAATTTGCTTTTCTTGTGTACATAGGGAACTGACTCTGTTCAAGAGGTAACCTGTGAACAAGCTGCCAAAATTTCAAAACCAGTCCACATTGCAGAAAAGCACTCTAACAAAAAGTCCATCCAGCAAGGTTAGTTTAAAAAATTGTCATGTGTTTCTCAGATGCTATTTAAAAAAAAATACTGCATACCTATTTTAAGTTGTAAATTGTTACTGTGCAAATACTGTTTACCTGAGCTTCAGGATTCTTCACTTTTATTTGTTACAGGCATTATTACTTTAAGAGTAGAGTCAGATTAGACTGAGGCTCTCAATTCTTTTGATTTTTTATTGATTTATATGTCAATTTGTTGTTGTTGCCATGTACTGTATCTTGAGAGTCTGAAAGACATATATGCGGAACCTGTATCTTTATCATGATGGTTAATAATGCCATGATTTTGAAACATTGCTATTGATACATTACAAAGCAAGCATATTATGCATTTAAAAAAATCATATTATGTTTCTCCTCTCCAGCAAGTCCTGATGTACCAGAGGTAAACCAGGAAGATTTCAAAGTGAGATGTCCCTGTGGTTGTAATGAGGTGAGATGCCACAATTATTGTTAACATTTTAAAAATGACTATTTTGAAATTCTGACTTGTGAGACGTATCGACAGGGTGACTGCCAGGCCCAGGGAATCCCCCAGGAAATTGAAAAAAAATCTCCGAAACCCGGGAATGCCCCGTGACTTTGATGAAATATGTAAATTGCCTGGGAAAGACCGGGGAAAATACATTAAAGTTATCGAACCTCTGAAAACCAAATCAGATAACATCCTTGGGTTCATTTTTGCCGGTCGCGATTTTGATATTCATTCGGCTTTTTCCGGTCTGAGAATATGTTTCACGAGAATCATTGCCATGGCAGCAAGCAGAAGTGTATGGGTGATACCGAAGCTCGATCTACGTTCGTTTTCTTTACCACTCAAAAATGTGCCAGTAGCAGTCTGATTAACACAACATTTGTAACATGCAGGTTGTGCATGCAGGTGTCGCCATGAAAATAAATCAAATACTATATTTGTCCTGTGCTGTCACTTGCGGAAGAAAAAGAATAAGTTATACAAGCGTCTTGTCGGGCTCTCCATCATGTCCGGTCAGTGAACCTGTGCGTCTCAGGCGTTTGCATCACATTGTGAGTACTGGTGATCGTTGCGGGATTATCAATTTTTTAAAAAGAAACAGTAAGGGGAGGGTGGTGTTGAAGGTAACACCGGATGACAAAAACTTACCTCGGAAACAAATTTTAGTACTTAGAATTAGAATATTTTTATTATTACTAGAGCTTTCTGCAAAGCGCGCATTAGTCCAGTCCTTGTACCTTGTGTGGAATTGGGATCCGTCATTCTATACTCATACTTTGTACACCATGTTTTTTTAACCAAAAGGTTTGCGTTTCATTGGATGGGTGATAGTACATTTGTTTCGTCTTTGGTTTTTATTTTTAGAGAGGTGTGACGTCATCAAGTGCATACTTTGTTCTTCCCTCTCCCTCTCCCTCTCCCTCTCCCCCTCCCCCTCCCTCTCTCCCTCTCTCTCTCTCTCTCTCTCTCTCTCTCTTGTGGTAGTAAATTACATGCATTATCTATATTTTAGCTTTCTATTCAAGATTCGCAGATTTTCCGTGTCACTGTATCTTGCCCTCCCACAGTTCTTACACTTCTCACACTGAATAGGTCTACTTGAGCCATTCAAGTTATTACTCTACTTTGAGTTTGAGCAATAATTTTTGTTTTTCACGTTCATTAAATAAATCTTGACACCCAAGCTGGTTCTTGACAGTCGGTTTTATGGTTCTAGGCCTATTGTCAGGCTCAAAACAAGATTCATTTTTATAGTTTATATAGGCGAATATGATGTGTGGAAAATATAAATAAGTAAGAACAGACTGAAATACGTAAGTCACACAGTATCCCTGCCACACTGACATGTTGTTGACTGGATATAATGCACCTACATGTGTGTGTGTGTGTGTGTGTGTAAATGGAGCATGCGCTGTCGTTGTTATGTAACATGCCCTCGGAAAATGGATGAGCCACTCTGGAAAATTGAGAAGCTCGGTTGGCAGTCACCCTGTATCGATTGATTTATAAATCTTGACGAAGAAAAAAGACAGTGCTCTAAAACATTCAAATTTTCTTTTTTCAAAGGGAGGAAATCTTTTTTTTACAAATTTAAAAACATTTTTACTGAAAAAAAGTTGCAACTTGCTTAGTTTGTGACATCAATGCTTCAGGACCAACCATTTTATATTACATAACCCTTTTTCTTGTTAGGAAGCTTAAAATAAAGTAACAAATGTTATAATTCATGTAGTAAACTCAGTTTTTAAAAGTAGAAGTTGAATTTGAAATTTCCCCCTACTTCAAAGTGATTCTGTCGTGTCAAGTCAATTTTAAATCTTGAGAGACCAGACACCATATCTTCTAGTCAGCACCCAAAACTCAAAAGGTGGATAAAAATGGATATTGAAATTTTTAAAAATTTATTTGCCTGTGCTTAAATAAAGTATCATAGCTACAGATTTTTGGTATGATATTTATTTTTGTTATAACGTGGTGGAATCGGGCATTCGTCAATTTTTGGGCATAATGAGGTATCAATATCATCTTAAAGTTTGTTGATTTGTCTTGCGTTTGGAGAATAAAAAATTCCATCTATCTTGAATAGAAGTTTAGATATTTACCATTGAAAGAGGTGGGGGGTTCCTGGTGTGAGAGGTAAAATTAGCAAAAAAATGGCTGCCAAAGTTTGAATGTCCTTGGAAACTGGAAATGTACTTTTTTTTTGTGCCTTTAATCAATTTTTTTCTGTATCATGCACTCAGAAATTTCTTTTTGAAAGAACGTTAAAGGTGTTGAGACAAAAAAAGAAAATTTGAACGAAATTGCCCAATGTCAAGAAAAATGCAGGTTTCTCTGATTCCATTTTTTTAAACGAGAACCTGATTTCACCACGCTGCTCCACATTTGCTAAGGTATCATTATGCCAGTGATTGTTCAAAGTAATGTATACATTCTTTCAGGATGATGGACTGATGATTTTGTGTGCTGAATGCAAGTTTTGGCAGCATGGAGTGTGCTTCCTCATCATTAGTGAAGAAAATGCACCAGAGTCTCACATATGTGATATCTGTGCAAAGGTAACCTGTAAGAATTGAAACCGAGTTTATTAACTGTTGTGCTTCTCATTGCCTTACATTTTAACGTGTGTCATCACCTGAATGAGCTTTATGAGTTTGGACTGTGAGAAGTAGAGGTGTGCGAGTAATGAGACAAGACTCGAGTAATGTGCGCTGCGAGTCAAAAACTTGAGTCACAAGTAAATTACTCGAGTAAAGACGAGTCCAAATGTCCTATTCCAGGCTTGAGTCCATTGTAAAGGATTCAATCTTTCTTGTTGTTGTTGTTGTTGTAGAGCTGCTATGTGTGATTGGGCGCCATATAAATGACCTCAATTATTATTATTATTATTAAGTGTTAAACTGTCCGATGTGAACATCAAGATTACCCTTTCTAGGGCAACTGTCTTTTTCAGGACACCAAGACTGTTCTATTCTCTTTGAGCGGCTCATAAAAAAGGGAAATTCTAATAAGCAATTTTTAAAAACTGAAGGGAACAAAAAACGAACAAACAAAACAAAAGAAAACGAAAAGGAACAACAAAAAATTCAAAACCCATGATGGCCAAAGCAAACTTCATTTATTTTTTGAAGTGCATTTTCTGAGGTTTAGTCTTTGTACATTTTATTCCTACTGTTGCGACAGAGAATTACTAAAAAAGATAATAAAAAAAGGTATAAACAGCATGCTGATGTATGGAAGTGCCATAAGCATACTCAAGCGCCCTCCTAGGAAGGCACAGTATTTTCTGTCTGGTATCCAACAAAACTTTTTTTTTTGTAACCCTCTACAAGTCCCGTTCAGGATACTAATAATAATAATAGATAGCATTTGTAAAGCGCATATCCCCGCTCAACAGCAGGCTCTATGCGCTTTACACTATATTATTACCCCAGCAGACCATAGAACACTCCGAAACATTCTCAGCTTCCCGGGAAGCATACAGTGTGAGCAGCCGATTAAGCGCTCAAACACTAACAAACTGACAAGATCTTTCGCTGTCTATAGCCGGGTACCCATTCCCACCTGGGTGAAGTGAGGAAAATTCGTGTAAAGTGCCTTTCCCAAGGACACAACGTCGGGCCCTTGACGGGATTCGAACCCACGACCTTACGGTTGCGAGTCCGAGAGCCTAACCACTAGGCCACCGACGCCACTATTACTTGAGTAATTACTCGGGTCTTTAAGAGTCGTTGGACTCGCGTAATTACTCGAGTCTTAAATTCTGGACTCCCACACCTCTAGTGCGAAGACTTGCTTTAGTCTTCATTACAGTTGTTTTGAATTTGTTACCCTGTGTAGCATTTTGATATTGAAACTGCATGCAGTGACTGACACTCTTTGAGTAGAGGATACAGTTGTGTGATAGAGGAGCAAAGATAGTTATTGTTTGGGGATGCTGTTGTACAGTAAAGACAGAAAAATAATGAGATATTCAGATGCTTCACTCAAACTTGTCTTTTTTATAACTTTGAATTCCTTTCCTTCTTTTCAGCCTGGCAACCCGTTGCTGGAGCCAACAGATCCTCAATTATGTGAAATGACATCAATAACGGTTCAGGTTCTCATCTTCCTTTTTTAAAACTAATAAAAGATAAAGGGGAAAAAAAACCTCCTACATGAAGCACATCGTCTTGTGAAATTTATTTAAATGTCACCAAAGTTTTGATATCTTGAATTGATACTTTGAATTAATAGTTTTTGCAGAAGTGGTAACAGGCTTCATGGCTTTGATTTTTCTCTCCCGAGATGGAAGGGCTGAATGCCCCAGATTAATAATAAACTACCTCTCTCTCAGTTACAAGAAATATGTGTCTCAAAGTTTAGTTCAAACTGCACCAAAATTTTTCCGAGGTTCCTTTCCATTGACCTTTTTTCTCTAGTGCCAAGGTGACATACATGTGTACTTCTGTTGTTTCTGTCTATGACTTTGTATAAGAGTCTTTCTTTTCAGCTTCTCATAATTTGTTATTATGCAAAATTAGAGTAATATTAAAATGTGTGGAAAGAGATTCATGAAATCCATTATTTCAGGTTTTTTATAACATTCATGCTCAGTACTTTTGACAAACGTTACTCTTATATGATTGAGTCACTTTACTTTTTTTTCAGGGTACTTGTTTATGGAGAAGAGCTTTGACTGTTTGCACTGAGTTCAAAAAGATAGTGGCTCCTCAGCTGGCTCGTAGGTTGGGCATTGAAAATGCTGTAGCACAAGGCCTCATCAATCGACTGGAGAAGGAGGGTTACATTGCCAATTCTCACCAAAGAAAAAAGTAAAGATTTTTTTTAAAATGCCAACAAAGTCTTTTTCCTGCTTTAAAAGAAACATGCTTGGATTGTTATTAAAAATATTGCCAATGACCCACTCAAAGAGTGGTGAATCTAAATGACTTTACTCTCTCTAGAGTTCATTTGACAAGTTGGTAAAAAGTTTTCTTCATATTCCATATGACTTTTAAATTTTATCGCCTTCTGCCCACCCCCCGCACCCTTTTTTTTTCTTCTTTTAACTCATTTGCTACGCCGAGCCCTGGGGGCCGGCGCGGCTAAAGTGCCATCAGTACGCTAAGCCGCCCCTGGCGGCTCGAGAACCGATCTTCAATTTTAGGTTAGATTTTATTCCAATCCACATATCCATGTTAAAATAAAGGTCATAATATAATGTTGACTTCCGGGTCAAGCGTTTCCACCGAAAATCAGAAGTTTAGATTCAAAGACCTTTGAATTGCGCACTAGTCATCATCTCATTTTGCCTTCTTAGCGAATGAGTTAATGTCTTGTACATTTAGTCTTCTAATGTTATGCAGCATAAATTTTGTACCAGGTATACCAGCATGCATTTAAGGTATTATCCATTTCTGCGTATTTTTAGTTGCCTCCGTTTTTTTCTTCTTGGGCACCAACGGGTAATTTGGTGGTCTCTGCATGGCTCAAATGGAACTTTCTTATCTTTGGTCATTCATATGTGTCACAACGTGGTGGAATCAGGTGCTCGTCAATTTTGGGGCATGTGACGTTATTAGTATCACCTGAAAGCTTATTCATTTGCAATACTTTCAATTTAAAAAATACCCATCTTTTATGAATAGAAGTCGAGATATTTATGATTTAAGGAGGTGGGATCACCTGGTTTCAGTGATAAAATTAGCAAGAAAATGGCCGCCAAATTTCAGTTTCGTCAATAGCTTGTGAGTCCCTCATAACTGAAAAATTAAATATTTTGTGCCTTTAGTCAACGTTTTCAGTCAAATTGACATAGGAATGTGCTTTTGGTTTTGAGATAAAGGTGTTGAGCCAAAAAAGCAAATATTTGAAAAAAAATTGCCAAACTATTGGGAAAATGTCTGTTTCTTTGATTTTTATTATTTTGACAAGCGCCTGATTTCACCGCGATGCCTCACACATTATGTTTCTGTTTTGTTATTAGTTCAATGTTGACAATACTTTCAGGTTTTTTTCAGAGTTATGTGTAGATTTTGATTCTGTATAGTGCACTGCTTTACATCTGTGTTTGACATCTGTATTATTTCTGAGTGTATTTTTTTTTTTTACACAGACTTGGCAAGATGGTTAATCAAGAGGAAATTAAGTCCAAAGGTATTCCACATTACTTTAGAACACCACAAGCATTGTCCCAGAAACAGACATCTGTCTCTGAAGACACAGAAAATTGTATGGTAAGTTTTGATTTCTATCGCTTAAATTTTTCCACTGCTAGAAACAATTACATAAATTTCGTATGATTTCCATGTACTTTCTACATGTTCTTCGTTTCTCTTATCTTGAAAGATCCTTAATTTCCAAATGATGATTTAAAACTGACTCTTTGTCCAAAGCATGAAGAGCCTTTGATAATTCTGTCAGTACGTGTCCGAGAATTGTACCTGAAGATTAAAAGTTTGAAGTATGAATCATTTAATGACAATGACGACTTTTATTCATCTCACAAGGAGAAATTTGTTTTGGTCGTTTACAATGGCAGTGGAATGTTACAAAGGTTAGGTGCACTCACGCATACACACAACATGACTGTGGGTGGTTGGCTGGTGCTCTGGGGTGGTGCTCCTTCTTTCCTATCAAACATCTATCGTCCTTATCTCCCCTCCCCCTATTTTGTGTTTGTTACTCTCTTGTAACACCTCTAATCTTAGACACTTATATGCCCTTATTGTGTTGCAAGTGCCTTAAAACTCTTACTAAAACTAAAACACAACATGACAGAACATTTGTAAATACATATTTTACGAGCTGAAACAACCCGCTTCATAAAACTTTCTCTCTCTCTTTATTTCTCTCTCTCTCTCTCTCTCTCTCTCTCTCTCTCTCTCTCTCTCTCCCTGTCTCTCTTTCTCTGTCTCTTTATTTCATTTGAAGCACTGTGTGTTCAGTAATCTCACTGCAGTTGGTGCAATTCTGGAAATGTATCATTTACTGCAGGCCGATAATTGAAATTCTGATTTCAGATGGTGGCTATGGTCATTTAGCATTATTTCTACCTTTTTAGAAAGCTTGTCTTGTGCAGATATTCAAAGTTATTTAGGGTTCTACCAATTGTTCTTGATGCTTTTCTGATCAACTTGTTTATTTTTATGAAGTGCTGTCTTCCCAAAGTTGCTACCATAGCAACAAATATCAAAATTTATCAAAGTTTCTGTTGTGGCAGTGTAGAATATCTGAAGGATGGATGGATTAAGATTGAAGGACCTTAGTTTCCTCAGAAAGTACAGCCTCTGATTTACCCTTTTAATAATATATGTCTCGACGCGGTGGAATCAAGCGCTCGTCAATTTTTGGGCATGTGGAGTTTTTGATATCATCTGAAAGATGGTTTATTTGCCTTGCTTCCAATGAAATTCAATATTTCCCTTTATCTTGAATAGAAATCAAGAATTTGGGATTGAAGAAAATGAGGTCACCTGGTTTCAATTGTGAAATTATCGAGAAAATGGCCACCAGAGTCTGATAACGCCAATAGCTAAGGAGTCTTTGAAAACAGTAAAATGACATATTTTATGCATTTAATCAATGTTTATCAGTAATATTCATATGGAAATGTGTTTTTATATGGACATTAAAGAGGTTAAACCAAAAAATAAAAGTTGGATAAAAATTTCCAAACTGGAGGAAAAATGCATTTCTCCAATTTCGTTATTTTGACGAGCGTCTGTCACCACACTGCCTCACATATTGTTCTTGTGTTTTTATCATGTAAATTTGTTGTCAATTGAAAGACCAAGATGTTTTTATGGATCCTTGAATTCAATTGTGTCTTGTTCAGTTACATAAATTTCCTAGTACTTTCTATGATATGTTTTCATTTCTCTTATCTTGAAAGATCTTTAAATTCCAAATGATGATTTAAAACTGATTCTTTGTCCAAAGCATTAATTGTCTTTGATACTTCTGTCTGTATATGACAGAGAATTGTACCCGAAGCTCACCTTTTTGTCATGATATAGATCATTATAACTCTACTGGTTACCCTGAGATTTTTAGTTTTTGTTTGATAAGTAATTAATACAAGGTCAATATAGTGCTTTCTACATGCTGCCAGAACACTAGAGTTGGGTAGGGCTCGCTAAATCAGCGTCCGTGAGATTGTTCGCAACTCGCTACACATCGGATGCTGATACAACAGTTCGTTTTGCTAGCGGGTGGACGGAGAGACTCCATGCATTCGAGCTGGCGGGCGGATGGATGGACAGGGAACGACTTCTTCCATTGCATACTACTTACATCCCCAACTCAAACAAAAATCAAGTAACCCTCCCACCCCACATTGTAGCTAGGCGGTCATGGAGGAAATGTCTCTACCCCCCCCCTCCTTTCTCCTTCAAGATAAATTGGAACGTACACAGTGTGACCCACGCACGAAGGGAAAGGTTATATTCGTAGTACTACATCACCAGCCTCTCTCACTCCCTATGGCACCGCTAGTGGTTTGAAACAATAGGCCTAATTAACAAACAATAGACTAGATGATGTGCTTAACCTCGCGTCGAATATATCTTGTCTGCTAGACGTCCTCCGTCCGCTCAGTGAATAAAATTGTGGAGCCTGACTTGAGGTTTGCAGTCGGCTCGCTCTTGTCTACTCGGCTAGAGTTCGTCCGCTCGTTGAGAGAATCAAATTGTGGAGCGGACCCAAAAAACGAACTGTTTTGAACGCATTGCTGTCCATTACCTGCTGGTTCTGACTTTGTCAGCGAGTAACGAACCCGTTCGCCTGCTCGCCTTCTCGCCCCAACTCTACAGTATACCCCTTCAAGGCCATGCTATGAAAAAATGGAAGCAGCTTCCTCTGCGTTTTTGAGTAAAAATTTGTTTATAAAACTATGTGTCAGGTTTGAACATCTGGGAATATGTCAAATGCTTTCGTGTGTACAATTTTTTTGTAGGTCACTGATGATTACATAGAAGGAAGTCAGGAGGTACATAAGACGCGGACTGTCGATAAGGTACTTTATTGATACAGTTGGACCTTTGTAAGACGAAATCACAAGGGAGCCAGAAAAAAATTTCGTCTTAGACAGGGGATTTGGGGGAGGGGGTGGGGGAGATTGAGGGAGGTTTCAAAGGGTCGCTTGTCAGGTCGGCAAGCAGTGGTCGAAACTTCACACCTCTCAACTGATATAATCTCTGATAATGACATGCATCAGTCTTACTTATCCAATTACTACCAGCACTTAGATTGTATAGGACCACTGTTTGACCTATAAAAAAACTGAAATGTTTGAACATCTCCTTTGCTTCCACCCTTAGCCCCACCCATCAATGTAACAAGCACAGTCAACCAATACCACTCCTCACTGCCATGTAACAATTCGAGGAACTTTTCTCGGCTGGCTATACGATCAGTGTGGCCGGCTTTGGTCGAACTAATTTCTCACTTTTGGCTTCTGGCTACCCAGGAAAGTTTTCATGGTGGTCGAGTACTCGAGCACTTTCACTGGGACTCATGAGATTTCACACCCAGACCATCCTGACCATCTGCATCACTCAGGGCTCACGTAGATACCCCCAAACTGCACCACAACTTCCCTTCCTTCCCGGGCAGCATGGCCTTAATTTTAGAACCGGTGCAAGGAAACTTGCGAGTTTTGTTATAAATTAGGGCTGAGCGGGCAAAGCATTTTCCGTCTGAGACAGGTGAAACCCTCGGAAGGGAGTGGACTTTTCTTTCCACTTCCACATTGGACATGTTTCCGTTTTATAAAAATTTTATGAAAACTAGTTCTTATTGTAGGCATCCTGGTTTTGGAAAAGAACTCTGAAATGAACTGAACTTGGTTATGTTTACCCCCCAAAAAAATTCTTTGGTTGATCAAGTTAATTTAATAGAAGCTATGGTTATAATGGAAAGAATAACTTTGTGTATTTCCCAGTTAGTGTGTTTATTTTAATTTTCCATGTTGCAGCTGGTTCTGAAATAATTATCTCTATAGTTAACAGTTCTGTTGAGGGGAACTGAAGCTCTTGATCATTTGTAAGTTCAAGAAAAGTAAATCTTTATTCTATGTATACCTCACTCTGTGCTTGTGATCAAATCGATTCCATTACAAAAAGCAAAAATGCATTTGATGAATTTAGTTTTAAAATATTTGTGCTTATTATCCTCAAGAAGAAGCTTCTCTGAAATTAAAGAGGCACTAAAGAAAGGTGGATGAATTGTGATTTTATAATTTGTTATTTTTTTTGGGGGGGGGGGGGGGGCGTTTGTTATAGTGTGGATGTGTCATTCTTTTTTAATTATATATCTGTCGTAATATGAATTCTGGACAGGAGTCATGATGAAGTTTTAACACTTACAGTACTGAAGGCTCTTATACTGAAAAACCCTCAAGTACCACACCAGTTTAGAATGCTGAAGCCATGGTAGAATTATTTAAAATTATAAAAAAACCTTGGCAGCGTAAGAAACAGCCTTTGAAAATTCATAGAGTCAAATAGAGAGACTCTCTTTGGTATTTACTTCAGTGCAGTACGTCCATTCGTTGTTTACTTATGTTTAAAGTGCCTGGTTACGTCGACAACTCGCCAGGGGTAGTGAGCACGTACTATGGCCTAGTCGCTGACGGTACTGTAAGTGTTAAACTGTCTTTTAAAATTTTTTTTATTGTTGTCATTCTCTTTGACAGGCTGTCAATGCTTTATCTGAATGTGCAAAGAAAATGAGCCTGGACAGCACAGAACAGATTACCCACAGTCCTCCTGCTCAGGTAGTCAGACATTTGTTTGATGCTCTTGGTAAAACTAATTACAAATTCAAATTCAGTGATCCTTTTTCTGTCCAAAGAAATTTTGGGCTTTTACTTAACTGTTTGTGGGTCTTGGGGAAGTTGAGAGGAGAATCCATGGTGTGGGCTTTGCACACGGCTGTTCAACTCGTCCGGAAACCGCTCCTTTAGTTGCTCCGTGCCAGCGGTCAGTGCCACCCTTGTGTTGGTCATTAAATCAACGGTCAGCCTTGCTCAATGCCTGCCCGTGTAATGCATTTCCTCCAAATTATGGTGTCATTTCTACCCTGATATCTCCAGATCTAAAGATGTGATATCGTCATATGGCCAACCATTTTAAAGCTCAGCTTTCCCCCTACAAGACGATATAACATTGGTCGATCTCAGTTCACAACCTTGATTTTATCGAACTACGTTCTCCAAGACATGTTTCTATCGAATCGGATTCATTTTTCAGTGTTATTTGAATTTAAACGCCAATAACTTTGTAAAATCACCCTCAGTTTCAATTCTTTTTTCAAAATCTAGTAGGGATAGGTATACTGCACAAATTGTGCAAGTTTTAACTTTGTGTCGTTTTACTGTGATTTTTAATTAATTTTTTTAAAAATTACATAGACGTTCCCCAAGGCGTGTTTCTATCGAGTCGGATTCATTTTTCAGTGTTATTTGAATTTAAACTCCAATAACTTGGTAAATTCGCCATCAGTTTCCAATCTTTTTTACAAATCTAGTATGGATATGTATACTGTACAAATTGTGCAAGTTTCAAATTTGTGTTGTTTATCTGTGATTTTTAAATTATTTTTTAAAGCAATTACATAGTTCTAGACGTTCCCAAAGACGTGTTTCTATCAAGTCGCATGCCTTTTTCAGTGTTATTTGAATTTAAACGCCACTAACTCCGTAAATTCACCAAAAGTTTCAAATCTATTCACAAGTCTTGTAGGGAGAGGTATACTGTACAAATGGTGTAAGTTTCAACTTTGTCTCGTTTTTCTGCGATTTTTTTTCTTTTTTAAAATGATATAGACGTCTTTTGTTCAGTGTTCACAAGATTGTTGTATATGTGTTTTGTTTCAAATCTAGATCTAGCATCTCTTAAAAATGTAATAATAATTATATAGTGTGTTTACCAATATTGTGACAGAGGCTTAAATGCAGTTATAAGTGCTGACACCCTGACTGGTGATACCCGCGATCCTAGAGTGATACGTTTTTATCAAGAGTCGTCACTAAGCCGACTATGGGAACTGAGGACATATTGCAAAAACCTGTGAATCTCCACTCAAGACTTAATATCTTTGCTTTAGGCAACGACACACAGATGCAGCCAAGTGAGTTTGAAACTTTACTCAATTTCTGACCCAATATCTCAGAATTGTCAAAATCGACAGCAGCTATCATGTTCAAATTTAATTAAATAAATCATGACCCTCTATCAATGTTCAAACATGTATCAACTTTTCTTTCTTTGTCATCTCGTCTTCCTTTTTCTTATTCAGTTGCATGATTGCTCTAAGAAATATGTCAGATGATGCTTATTCAAAGTATACGCTTTTATGCACAGTTGGTGTTGTAATTTGGGCTTAGTCGCAGGTTAAACAAAGCTGAAAACTGCAATAACATTTTCATCGCGAATCTGTCAGTCAGGCAAAATTCCATGTGCTGACCTCTTGACCCGTTAGTAATGGCTTGTTCAAGTTACGCTGAGCGTCGGGGCGCGGCGGAGTGCCGGTAGAACTAAAGTACTGCTCGTGAACAGCCGTGTGCAGTACACAACAGATTGCTGAACAAGATCAGCACCCCCAAGGTGGATCCGATTGTATCACTGTCATGGAAATGGAAACCAAAACTGGAAAGGTTCACTTCGTCAGCGTCTACGCCCCAACCCTAACAACAGAAAATGAGAAAAAAGACCAGTTTTACGAGGAACTCCCGGATGCTATCAACAACGTCCCAAAAGCAGACCAACTGTTTCTCATGGGCGACTTCAATGCAAGAGTAGGTACTGAAAACAAAGTATGGACCACCTGCCTTGGACCTTTTGGGCTTGGAAAAATCAACAAGAATGGTCAGAGACTCTTAGAATTTTGTACAAATAACAACCTTTGCATCACTAACACATTCTACAATGGCAAGGACAGACACAAGGTTTCTTGGTGCCATCCAAGATCAGGCCATTGGCACCAAATCGACTTCATTCAACGTCAGAAAGAAAGATGCCAACATGGTAAAGCAAACAAGATCCTTCTACAGTGCAGACTGCAACACAGACCACCTATTATTTATAGCTAAAACGAAGATAGTCACAAAGAAAACAACAAGAGCAGAAAAACGAAAGAAACCCAAGATCAACATAAGAAATACCAAAGACCCAGCGTTAAAGGCAAAATTACAAGAACATGTTAAAGAAGAGCTCCAACATCTAGATAGCTCATCCCCAGACAACATGTGGAATAGCATGAGATCAACAATTTATTATTCTGCGTCGATGACTTTTTGAATAGGAAAACCTTGCAAGGAGGACTGGGTTGAAGCCAGTGCATCAACACTCGCACCACTACTCGAGAAAAAGCGTAAGATCCTGATAGAACACAACACAAATCCAACAGAGAGTACAAAGCAGCAACTACATGCTGCAAAATCCTACCTTCAAAGAGAAACCAGAAAGTGTGCCAATCGGTACTGGGACAAGCTCAGAAATCCCAACTGGCAAGCGATGCAGGTAATATCAGGAAAATGTATAAAAACATCAGAGTCGCAATTGGACCAACAGCAAACAAAGTGGCACCTCTAAAGTTGCAACAGGTGAACAGCTGACAGACAAGAAGAAACAACTGGAAAGATGGGTGGAACATTATTCAGACTTATACTCAGAGGAACGACATGTTGATAGACAGCTACATGAGGCCATTTCTCAGCTCTCTGAAATGTCAGAACTTGATACAACATCAACAGAAGAACTCTCCTCTGCAAGCGATGGACTCGCTTGCAGAAAAGCAGCAGGAAATGAAAACATACCTGCTGAAGTACTGAAAGAGAACAAAGAGACCCTCCTACCATATCTCTACGAGTTTCTAACAACTTGTTGGCTGAAAGTAGAAATTCCACATGACATGAGAGATGCCAAAATCACCACACTCTACAAGAACAAAGGGGACAAAGGAGATTGCTACAACTACAGAGGTATCTCACAGCTAAGCATCAATGGAAAAGCTTTCGCTCGGATCATCCTGAAGTGACTTCAGAAACTAGCAGAAAGGGTCCTACCAGAGAGCCAGTGCAGTTTCAGATCTAACCGCTCAACAATGGACATGATCTTTTCTCTTCGTCAGCTACAAGAAAAATGCAGGGAGCAACAACTGCCATTACATACTGCGTTCGTCGGTTTGACAAAGGCTTTTGATGCAGTCAGTAGATCAGGACTGTACATGGTGCTTGGAAAAATTGGCTGTCCCCCAATACTGCTACAGCTCATTATCTCATTCCACGAAGATATGAAGGCCACCATTCAGTTTGACGGTTCAACATCAAACAGTTTCAACATCAATAGCGGAGTAAAGCAAGGTTGTGTCTTAGCACCAACCCTTTTTAGCACTTATTTTGATGTCTTACTGCAACACACATTTAAAGAGTCACCAGGGGATGTCTTCCTCCACTGGAGAACCGATGGGTCGCTCTTCAATCTTGCTTGACTCAAGGCCAAGACCAAGATCAACAATACAACAGTACGAGACCTTCTCTTCGCCGATGATGCGGCTCTTGTTGCTCACAGTAAATCAACCCTACAAACAATGATGGGCTGCCTATCAACAGCATGCAAGGTCTTTAGCTTGGTCATCAGTGTTAATAAAACAGTCATCCTTACCCAAGAAGGTGCAGAGCAGAGCCATATGTGGCTGAATGACAAGGAGCTTGAGACAGTGGACAAGTTCTGTTACTTGGGGTCTACCATCAGCTCTACTACATCACTTGATTATGAGATCAGCACCAGGATAGGGAAAGCAGTAACAACTTTTGGAAGACTGATAAAACGAGCATTGGAAAACAAAAGATTAACCATCAAAACAAAGATCAAGATTTATGAAGCATGTGTCCTCAGCACACTCCTTTATGGATCTGAAACATGGACCTTGTACAGCAGACAATAAAAGCGCAAAGCACCTCGACATTTTCCATCTCAGATGCTGCCGCAAGATCTTAGGCATTTCGTGGCGCGACAAGGTTACAAATGTTGAAGTGTTGGCACGGGCAAACCTCCAGAGCATGACAACTATCCTGTGTTTAAAAAGATTGAGATGGCTGGGCCATGTCAAGAGAATGGACGACAACTGGATTCCGAAACAACTTCTCTATGGAGAACTTGCCCAGGGAAAGAGACCAAGAGCAAGACCAAAATTGAGGTACAAAGACACCTGCAAAAACAGCTTATCTAAGCTTGGAGCAGATGTTAGCATCTGGGAAGAAATAGCTGAGGACAGGAAAACATGGAGGAAAATGATAAAGGAAAGAACTATAATGCTAGAGAGCAGTTTTAGAAACAACCAGGCTGAGAAGCGCCAACGACGAAAGGAAAACAGCAGAAATACAGAGCTTCAATCTACGACACATACATGCAAGCACTGCGACAGAATCTGCGCTTCAAAAATAGGAAGAATTTGCCTTGAAAGAAGCTGCCTGAAGACAACCTTGAGACCATCTTAAGCTAAATTGACCGTCTGCATAGATGAAAAAAGCCATATATATATGCCATATTTATAGACCAAATCTAATTATAGGCAATCAAGCGTCACCTCTAGTCATTGGGGATCCAAAATGTGACGCTCCCAGTCAAAATCAGTCATATGAAGGAAATTTCAAAATTTAGTTAACATAATTTCCAAAAACTTAACTATCACCATTTCACTACAATTTGGAAAGAAAATGAAGTAAATAAGACAATATTTGACGAAAAGATGGAACTTAAGTATGCAAGGTGCTAATAAAAACAAAAGGAGAAAACAGGATGCGAAGTTCAGTAACATGTTTCCATAGCAACGGGGGTCTTAGAATTGAGATAGAGACTTAAGATTTGGCAGTTCTCTTGGCTAGGCCACTACAAGGTCACACTCAGAAGTAAAAAGCTTATAGACAAAACTAAATTTTAACGGATTAGTATTGTAGGCCCTACTAGGTACCAGAAACTAAATTTCAAAGTAGCTGTTTGTCAAATATATCTGTTCCATATGAAAGGCCTGTGTCTCCTGCGAATTTTGGTACCTTACTTTTACCTCTCAGTCAATTAAGTTTTAGAAAATCGCAGCTGTTTTAATTTAATATATAATCGAATATTGGTAAATTCGCTAACCGGCTGCAACCCCATGTTTGGCAGATAATAAAAGAGTACCAAGTGATCAAACATCTCCAAATTAACAGAGTACAATCACTATAACATAGAAATATAGCCTAATTTTTTTTTTCAAGACAGACCTTTACAAACCAGTATTTTATTGCCTCCAACATGATAATCTGTCGTAATTTCGATTTTTTAAAAATATAGAGCATTGTCCTGTCCGGCGCCGCACCGGTCCCAGTGGCAAGAAACTGGCTCTAACAGTAGTGTACTGAGTGCTCCCCGGAGTTTCATGGATGGATTGATGCAAAATAATTCCAATCCGATGACTTTATTTTAATAGAAAAAGAACTGTTTGTTCTGTTAGTACCTTTTTTGTATCCGTATTTTCCATAATCCATGTTAAAAAAATCTTTGAAAACTTTTTAAAGGCTTTCTATATTTAAACGCCAAAGGCCAAGAACATACAATAGGAAGCCCCGTTCAAAACTGTAAAGAAGTTGTTTGCCAATGAAAAGATAGTATTTAATCACCACTTTTTCTTCAAAGCATTCGAATGCTTGGGTGTCAATTTTTTAACTGGCTGACCTCGCATTCCGACCATGAGGGGCTTCGCTTTCCACAGCAATTCTCTAGCTCCAAATACTCTGAAAAACAAATTACGCTATTGTAACGAAAAAAATGCTTAACTTTTTCAAGGTGTGCAGCGTTTGGTGTGTTATAGCGAAAGAGCAAAGAAAAAGCGATCTGAATTACCTCGATTTTACTGAAACCACGTGCTCGGAAGTCCGCGAGTCTGCTCACGTGCCAAGTTTATGCTTCCTAATTATAGGTTTGCAATAGCACTATAAACAAACGAGCGTACGCACACATACACACACACACATGCACACACAAATACACACATACACACACACACACAAACATACACTCACACTTGCACATAGACTGCCTTGGTGGCATCTTGGTAAGGAGTCCACCTTGGGAGATCTAGAGGAAGATCTATCTTTTAAAAACCCCCACTAAAACACAATAAAAATGAACTTTGAGTCAATCAAAGTGTAAAACTGAAAGATCAACAGTCCATAACTGAGCTAACGGGGCATGCTTACACAGTCAGCTGTTTACGTATACAAGCTTGAAGTGGGCTAGGAGCTACCGTTCTTACCCCGTTAACCAATCAGAGCCCTCAGCCCTTCATGGTGACGCTAAGTTGTTTATATTTCAGACCATTCATGCTCGAAAAGGGGTCTAAATCTAAAAATAGGGACGAATAAAGGACGTTGAAGCTATTATGTGGCCATGAGGTAACGGTTCTATAAATAATCTCACAGCTACACACCAGTAGGTCAAATGTTCGAAAAGGTTTAAGGTCCAAATTCCTTTATCTTGTCACCCAAGCTCACAACAAACCACACTCACACCTCCAAAATAAATCAAAATAAAATATTTATAGTCGATTATTATAATTATTTATTTTGATCTTAAATGAAGCAGAAGACATTTAACTTTCAATAGTGGCTCTCATATGACTTTATGCAGTTGCGAGCGCCATAAAACATCTACTAAAACTAGAACTAAACTTTCGATAGATCCAAAAAGCAAAAAATTAATAGAAAGTCACTTTTTAGCCTTTCCAGCCTCGTAGCGCCACAGCACATTACGTCTTACGAATGATTATGACAGGGGCAGACACAAATGAGCCTGGTGAAGTACAAATTGACCCTGCATCAAGGAGGGGTAAAGAGTGGCTCTTATGTATGAGCTCAGAATAATTACCAGTAAAATTTCCAATAATGGATATGGCAGAGAACTTCTCTGGATTAATTCAACAACAAAAATTTGCAACACCTGTAATAAAAAATCCGGCATGAGTTTACATTCTGAATTTATTTTTAAGAGTTGATTAATGAATGAGATTTTTAGCTTTTACTCAATTCATGATTTGTTTCGGCAGGCCAAAGCAGCAACTCGGCCCATGCAGAATAAAAGACCATTTACAAGGTCAAGAAAACGTGCTCGCTCCCAAACAAATGATGTGAGTCATATTATGTCTTATCTTTTGTGTCATTTGTTTCTAAATGAATATAGAGTCTGCTTTGTAGAGATATGTTGAGTAAATTTTCACACACTTTTCAGCTTTTCCTTAACTCAATGATGCCAGTAATTTAGTCAGGTGATCTTCCTTATCTTTGTAAAATCAAACCACATTTTGAAAAAGATAATTTCATACTGCATTCTATTCTTTCAGAATATTGTGTTTGCTGTATGAATGCAAGGAAAAAAATTACATCAGAAGGTCTTTCTGTCTTCACACACCATGGTTTTTTGGTGTATTATTAGTGCCGAGATTTGTACCATTTTGACTTGCAAAAGTAAAACCTAGCTGTGCTACGAACTAAAGTTAACAAAACCAACTTGTTTTTCTAATGCACTCATATGACCTTACACTGTTGTGAGTTATAAAACTTTTATGAAACTAAATGCCGGCATTTGTTTACAATCTTAATATGAGGCGTCATGGTGAAATCAGGTGCTCGTCAAAATATTTAAATCAAAGAAATCAGCATTTTTTTCTAATTTTCTTTTTTTTTGGCTCAACACCTGTTAGGTCCATTTAAAAAGACATTTTTGTGTTAATTTTACTGAAAAACATTGATTAGAGGACTGTCAGACAATGGAAGTTTGCCAAACTTTTGTGGCCATTTTCTCGCTAATTTTACTTCTAAAACCAAGCAACCCTGACCTCCTATCCAACATAGATGAATATTTTTTCACCAAAAGGAAGATGAACAGGCTTTAAGGGGGTTAAGATGATACCAATAACTCCATAAGCCCAACAATTGAAGAGCGCCTGATTCTACCGCGTTATGACACATATATTATGTACTTAGTTCATTGGTATTCAAACTCTGTTTATGAAATAAGCTAAGTACAGTGTTAGACTGCTCAAACAGTAGGATTAATGGAAAGTGTAACAGTTAATTTTTGTGTTGTAGTACTTCTGAAAGATTTGCCTTGTGTCTGTACTTCCGTCTCTAAATTCATGGACCTGTGTGCAAATAAAACATGCTTTATTGACCATATATAGCAGCACATCAACAAAAGTGTGTTTCTATTTGGTCATATATTTGTTATCTGCGTGTTGTGTGTCATTGATGAAAGTATTGTGCGTAAGTGCTAAAAAACTTACACATTACCTCCCAGGGCAGTGCTTCTGACTGAAGTGTCTTTAGGCCATTCCCAGAGGGGGGACATTAACATGTTCTTATGCACAGTAAAAAATACTTGTAAGCGGGCTGATTCATCAATGTCATGCTCATAACTCGTGTGCCTGAACTGCAAGAGGGAACTGCTGCTTTTTCTTTCCTTATCCTTACTATCGTCATTTTCCTCTATTTCTTTTGTATGTTTGTCAAACTCTTGTGACCCACTATTTCCGGGGTGCCCTGATAGTCGAAGCAGACTTTTTGCCGTTGAAGCTAGAGAGGTGAGCAGAGTATGCCTGATTCCCTGTATGGACTTCTCTGTTGACGTCCACCCATTGGCGTTCATATGACCTTATACTGTTGCAAGCGCCGTAAAAACTACAAAAACTAAAATAAACAAAAAACTTAAAGATTTTTGTTATTGTATCCAATTACTTTTTGAATCATTGAAACAATGTAGAAATATCACAAAGTGCCTAGAAAGTCAGTATTGAGCATGGCTGTAGTAGAATTGTTGAAGTTGAATGTGAAGACTTTTTCTTTAAAAATGCATGTTTTAGATTTCCAAATATCATGAACATTGGTTCATTTTTATCTTAGTCTCAGCTTTGAAAACCTATTTTATCCTATATGAGTTTTTGTATTAAAAATAAAACATTTCTATTTCAGAATGATTTTGAAATAGCATGCAGTGGGGATTCTCCAACTGCTGGCTCAAAGTCAAAGAAGAAAGCAAGTAAAGTTAGCAGGGACGTTGTCGTCTAGAACTCTGGCTGACGTGAGGCTATGTTCTCTTTTGTTTCCTTCAGGCAAGACACGAGAATTTTGTCACATTGGAAAACTGATTTATATTTCTCTCAGATAGAATAAGTTTGTTTTATTTAGAGCCTTGCAAAGTTTAATGACATGTGACATTGGTAAACATTTCATTGCCCTAAACAGTAATTCACTGAACAGGTTTCCCGTTAAAAACACGGGATGGGCCGTCAGTTCTGTGAGACGTTTCCCATGGAAAATGCGGGATCGTCATTACCGCCGTATAGTATCTACATAAATGCCGCTAAAAGCACAGGATCCAGCTTAATCGTATGTGTAGCCATGCATTTTGTTTCACAAAAAAATATCTTGAAAATCAGTTAACAACTTTTTGATCCGGAGCATTTTTAGTTAGGTGACTGCTAAGACTACTTGTGTTGTAAATTGTAGTGAGCGTTTTTTAATTTTCTTATTCATAATTTTTTTTTTTACATTGAATTTTATACCTTTTTAAAAAAATCATGACAAATAATCTAGAAGAGACAGACATTTGTACTTTGGTATGTTTATTGTTCCCGTTTTGTTCTTGATTTTGTCAAAAGGGCATTTGCTGTTGGTTAAGATGTTAGTTCTTACAGTACTGGTACCACAGGGTCTTATAGTGAAAACCCTTGAGTACCGCACCGATTTAGAAGCCAAGAAAATAATTAGGGTACGTTACAAAAAAAAATAATTGAAACGAAAGTCACTGACAGAATTACATTAAATTTTCAAGATATTTTCAGAAATAAATGTACTTTATAGCAAAATCTTTTTTGTGACATATAGACATCATGATAAAACTCCCATTCTGTTTGGAGATGGTAGACACGCCCACCTTAATTTGTATCACCTGTAGGCCTAGACCTACCAACATTACCTGTTCACGGTCCTGCATAACCACTAGATCTGACATACGAAGAAACACGATGAGCTGGAACTGGAACATTTATAAATCTGTCTATGTCACTGTCAGGCTCTACATCAGACAAATTGTCAAGATAAGACCAACTGTCGTCACAACAATCACTAAGCTCTTCGCCTGAATCAGAGGCATAGCGATCTGGGAATGTTGAAGCCATGGTAAAACAAAAAATGTAAATAAAACCACCATCACTGCTCAAGAAACGTACTAAAAAAATTCACAGCGCTACAATCAACGATTCAGCTATCACATAGAGTGATTTCCCTTGATATTTACTTCCGTGGAGAAGTTCCGTTCGTTGTTTCGAGTCGGTGACTAAAGTTGCCAGCGGTACTGAGCAGAAATTACGGGCCGGCGACTAAAGTCGTTGAGGGTACTGTAAGTGTTAAAATAATATGGTTTAGATTTTATATAATTTTGAAAAAAAAAAAAACCTTCAGTCTTTGATGCTTTTACGTAGTAATGTTCATCAGTCTTCAGTGAGTTAAGTTCTTGTTTCTGTTCTCCAAGAGTGTCTTAATTGTTGGTATCATGTCATTTTGCACCCTCGAGCTAACATGGATGCCACTTTGTAAAGTTATTAGTTTGTAATGGACTCTATGGATTTGAATGTTATAACAGACTCAAATGTGTTAGGATGCGGTGGAATCAGGTGCTCGTAAATTTTGTGGGTTTGTGAAGTTGTTGGTTTTGCCTTAAAGCTTGTTGGTCTTAATTTTAATTAAATAAACACACATCCATCTTGAAGAGAAGCTGAGTTATTTGCGTTTAAAAGAAGTAGGGGGTCGCCTGGTTTCAGAGGTAAAGTAAGCAAGAAAACGGCCACCAGAATTTGGTGATTTCCCAACTTGAGAGGCCTTAGAAGGTGCAAGTTTACATTTTTTTGTGTGTCTCTAATCAACATTTTTCCTGTAAAAATCCACACACAAAAACGTTTTTAAATGGACATAACACTAGCAGGTGTTTTGTCCAATTAAAAAAAACTGAAAAAAAATTGCCTTTTGGACAGAAAAATAATTTTGTCTTCGAATGCATTGTTATGATGAGCTCCTGATTTTACCACAATGCCTCACAGAAGATCTGTTCATCAAAACTGTCTTTGAATATTAGACTTTTAATTCATTTCAGTTTTTTTGTCATTGAAAAAAAACAACCCATTACAGTAGAGTGTATTGTTCCTTTGCTGTTAACCCTATATAGGGAACTGGATTTTCTTTTGTGGGAACAGCTTAAAAGAGATACACTGTTAGTAAAATAGGGGGATGTATGATCAAGTAACTTTTGAGTAAGTGATTATAAACTGATTTCAATATGTGAGCTTTATCCTGGGCTTCCCATTAATGGAAATGGCTTTTTATGTCTTGGATCTTGTTAATTTTTGTATTGTTCTTTTAAAACAGACAGTAGGCATTTTGTACTTTAAGTTTGAGGATCACTCAATGCAGTTTTTCAAGTTTCAGCAAGTTTAGCCCAAGGATAATTTTTCCTGGAGACCATATTGCCTCACAGACACATCTGCCTTGAAGGGCCAAGACTAGAAGAGTATTCGGAGAAGACTCTTCAGTAAATGCTTTTGACTCAATTTTTTAAATATATTTTTGGGCTACTTTATTTTTTATTGTTTGCCAAACTGGCAATGAGATTATCTGAAGTAGCATTAGCATCATTCTACACAAAGTCCAGCCAATTTTCTGCATGGTTGTGTCTTTCACATTCAGTACCCCAGTGATAACTGTTTATCAGTCAACATGTCTGTTGTTCTTGAGTATTTTTTTTTCCTTTGAACCAGGATGAATTCCCATGACTAGCCTATCACTGAGTATTCTGGAGCAGTCGCCAGCAAAATGCAATTTCTGAAATATAAATGTTCTGATTGTTATTGTGTTGTATTTTATGAATGCTGGATTGTTGGTACAGAAATTGTGACCTGAAAAAGTTTTTCATTATAAGAGCTTGATTTTTCTCAAGTTTAACTCTTTCTCTGCTCCGAGCCGTGGGTAGCGGCGCGACTAAAGTGACTTCACTATGGCAAGCTGCCCCCGATGGCTTGAGAACTGACCTATAATTCTAGCTTAAATTTTATTCCAGTCCTCATATGGATGTTAAAATAAAGGTTATAATATAATGTTGACTTTCGGGTCAAGCGTTTCAATCGAAAATCAAACGTTTTGATTGTTTTGATTGAAACACGATTTGAAGTTTATGCAACTTTGTTTTATTGCGATGCCCAAATTATAGCCTGGATAGGCCTGTACCAGTCTTAATACTTTTACTAAACAAAATGTATTTTTATTTCGCGTACTAAAGAATTGTAGGACTCTTTTTTTAGAATATTGATGCTTTTTTTGTAAAATGGACTAAAATTGCCATTGCTCAGTTATTGAGGAATCAATATTTTTTCAGTGCTAGATTACATCTAAATTGTCAACAACAAAAATTTATCTCCAAAATCACTATTTTTGTGGGGTGAAATTACACAAAAAGCACCAAAGACGTGTGTAGGTTTATTCCAAATGCAATTCTGAATAATTCCATTTAAGATACATGTTGTCCTTTTTTCAAGATTTAAAAAGATAATTTTTTTTCAATATCGGATGTTCTGATCAAAATGTACAAATTATGCAGAATGTCTGTAAATAACTGCAAATGTTTCAATGTTTTCCTGTTCTTTATTCATTTACGGTTATTTTGATGTATCATTTGACTAGGTGCAAACTTATTTTTTGAGTTTCACCAAAGATTATTAATTTTTTATTATCAAATTTTATCCATATCCAAGCAAAATTGTTTTGTATAATTGCCTCTTACAGGAACCAAAGTTGAAAAATAAACAAATAAACAATACAAACGTATTTTACTAATCATAGCCTTCTGAAAGTTTCGGTGTATAATATGTGGATATTTATTTGAATTTTTGGCCCTAATGACCTTTGAACTGCGCTTTAGTCATCATCCTCATTTCGCCCTGCGGAAAAAATTTGTCCACAAGTCCAAAATAATACATGGCTAATAAGTTAACATGATTATCCTTAGTCCCAGCATTTAATTAAGGCCGTCTCTATTTCTCCGAACGTTCAGGAAAATAAACTTGAACTCTATTTCTCCAAACGGTCTCCATTCTCGAGATTTATTTATAAAAAGCGAATGGAGTGGCCCGTGTATGTGTGTGTGTGTCGGTGTGTGTGAAAGGGGGCGTGGGGGAATTTTTTTTTTTTTTTACATGAAGGATTTTAGTTTTTGCTAGGTGACTAAATGCAAAATAAGTCACTGCCAAGGTCAAGCAGTCTTGTTTTCTCGCAGTACCTTTTGAAGGTATTTTCAAATGAAGTGAACGTTGCCCCAACCACAACTGAAGTATCTGAATATTCCGACATTTAAAAATCTCTTGCTCTAGAAATTTGAATTCGATGCAAAAAAATGCTTCTTCCCAGTCCTCGCAGAATGGCAGAATGAAAGACGAAAGGATGACGCCCAAATCTCGCAAATAACCAAAATATCTCGAGATCGGAAACTGTTCGGAGAAATAGAGCTCAACTTTATTTTCCCGAACGTTCGGAGAAATAGTCACTTCGTTTAATTAAGGGAAATAATCCTGATTTTTCTCCCTGTTGCTGTAGGCCGATAAGGGGAAATAACCTCCTTATACTTATGCGCACCCAGCAGGTTCAAGAAACTACGACATGTATACTTGGAACTTGAGAGTTTCACCTGAAAACCCTTTTTCTCCCGAAATTGCCTCTTTTTACATTGTATTATGATATTCTGGCCTGCAACTACATGTATTGCCTGCCATCCAAGTAAAAAGTTGAAATATTTTTGCTCTAAAAATGTTTGTTGAAGTTTAGTTTGAAACAGAAATGTACTTTTTTTTGCCGTAGTCCACAATACATATACAAATATATATTATATATATAATATATATATGTGACAAAAAGTGGCGGAATCAGGCGCTAGTCCATTTTTGGGCATATTGGGTTATAGGTGTCATCTTAAAGCCTGTTCTTTTGCCTTCCTTTTGGTGAAAAAAAAATCCATCTATCTTAAATAGAAGTCGGAATATTTGCGATTGAAGGAGGTAAGGGTTGCCTGGTTTCTGAGGTTAAATTAGTGAGAAAATGGCCACCAAAGTTGAGTTATTTCCTAAGTTTGAGAGTCCGTGGAAACTGAAAATTTACATCCTTATGCTTTTAACACTTTGCCGCCTCATCTCGCCAATTGGCGATGTTTACCACCCAGTTTCTTTGGAATTTCCCCAAACTATGATGGCAAAGTGTTAATCAACGTTTTTCAGGAAAAGTCCACAGCGAAAAGTGTTCTTTAATGGGCATAAGAGGTGTTGAGCCAAAAACCAAAAAATCGTTAGCAATTCTCAAATCTGCAGAAAAATGCCGGGTTTCTTGATTTTCATTATTGTGACGAGCGCGTGATTTCACCACGCTACCTCACACACACACACACTCACACACATAATATATATATATATATACACTGGATTATGTAATCAAAATCTTGTATGTTTAATTGTATTTTCAATTATGAGATTGTCAATGGTGCCTTTCAGGTTGGATTTTATGTTGAAGTTTGTAATGTTAATAACATTCTTAAAATTTGACTCTTCAACCTGTTATTATTCAGTGAAAATAAAGTTAATGTTTCCATAACATATCAATAGTTTCATTTTCGTTTTTCTAATGGTTTCCCTTTGACTTCTCATGATGTATACTGTTTATCGATAATAGTAATAGCTATCCAGTCAATATCATTATGATTTGAATGAGTTTTTGTCTTTTCGTCCTCATTTTATTTATGTGGTGATTTGCTATTCACCTGTATCTTTCTGTAACAGAACAGAGCTCATGCAACTACTTAGAATAGAGCTAGATCCTTTTTTCTTGATAAAGTTTAGTGTCCTTGAAGAGCATAGATTGCTTACTTTTATGGAGGAGTTGAGTTGAAAAAAAGTGTGGAATTCCCATGGATTTGAGCCACTAGCTTTTGCCTTTTAATTAGTACTTATTGGCAAACTGATCTTTGACTACAACTGATCAGATCTTTGCAGTATTGAATGTAATAACTTCATCGTTTCACTCTGTGCTCCGTCCAAATTGTTGTTTTTATCACCAGACAGTGAAGATGATAAATGTCATAGACCGTTCGGCACATGAACAAGAACCTATCAAACGTTCAGCACTTGAGTGAGGAACACCAATGAGCATTCAGTACGTGTGTTTTCATCACATAATATATTGAGGAGAAATTTTAAAATTTGGGTCATGACGCTTTTAACAAATTTAAGATAGGTAATCCTCAGAACTAGTGCCCTGGAGACAGTGGACTCGTATGCTGAAACTCCAATTCATGCTTACACTGATGGGTCAGCAACAAACGCTACATGGAATGCCGAAAATGAATCCATCAT